CGGGTCAGGTCCAAACAGGGGAAAAGGGGGGGGGGGGGGGGGGTCCTTACCGAACACGCTCCGGGCGTACAGGTTCGCGCTCAGGAACTGGCAGTCGCCCTTGAGACTGGCCTCGGGCGTCAGGCAGTTCATGTTGGTCGCTGCCATGAGCTGCTCGAGGAAGTCGCGCAGCGTCTTCGCCTTGGAGTTGATGTTGACCTTGTTCTCCCACTCAAACTCGGTCCACATGGTGCGGAACTGCGTCTCCGTGCACGACGCCGGCTGGATGTAGTCCATTATGTCGACGTGCACATCGTTGAGGATGACCACGTTGGTATCCGTCGAGTGCGCGCCGTCGTAGACTACGTTGCCGAAAATGACGCCCGTGTCCGTTGAAGACACCTTGATCGTGCATTGCACGTTGTGGAAGCCGTGCGGGCCCAGGTTCTGCGTCGTTGGCCTCTCGACCACCTTGAGGTCGCCCAGCGTCGCAAACTCGACCGACAGGTTCTGCAGCGTCTCCGACGTCTGGTTGACGAGCAGCACGTCGAGAACGATATCAAACTGATGCACCGTGACATACGTCTCGGCGTATACGGGATCGGAGAAACCGGTGAGCTGGACTACCCTGCTGAGCTTGGACGACACATCCTCAGCGGCCGACTCGCCGCCCGTGGCCCGCTCGAGGTCAAGGTCAATCTCGTCCACGCCGCTGCCCGCGTTCTTCTTCGACAGTTGCCGGATCTGGACCACATCATCGACCTGGATGGCCGTCTTGGCCTTCTCGACGGCCTCCTTTGCCGCGCGCTTCTTCTCTTCCGCTTGCACCATGGCGCGGAAGGCCTTTCGCGTGTCGTCCAGGTACACCGTCTCAATCTGCTTGTGCTGGGTGAACTCGGACAGTGACCGCACACCGGACATGATACGGTCGACAGAGTCCTCGTCAATGGGGGCCTTGACAAACTGAGACTGGCCCACGCGAATGATGGAGATCATGATGAGCATGGCCTCGCCCCTCAGGGCGTTGGTGCGGGCGGTATCCTTGGAGATCTGTGCGTGCCTCATGACGAGCTTGGTCAGAGTGGCTGAAAGAACAGTGGCGAGATAGTAGTCGCCATCGAGGATGAGCTGTCTCAGCGGTGGCTTCTGAGCCGCCTTGACGGCCTCGAGCTTCGCTGCCGCCGACGACTGGCTTGTGAGGGCAGTCTCGGTCGCGTAGGTTCCGTCCGCCAACACCTTGCGTGAGCCAGAGGGCGCCGCGGGCTTCGAATGTCCGTTGACCTGCTCCTCCTCCTTCTTCTCGTCGTCATTATCATCCAGCAGTCGTTGTTCCGAGGCAAGGATGGGGATCTCGCCGAGACTCGCGCGTATCCTCTTCCAAGCATCTCGAACGTCACCCTCGTCGAGGGAGTATTCGCCAATGATCCACATGATGCCCCGGTAGACCTTGCCAGCGCGAACCTCGCCCAGCGTGGCGACGAGCCTGGCAACGATGGGCTTGCGAAGCTTGGGGAACTTTTCCACGACCTCCTTGACAAAGTTGATGACATCGACTGCAGACGCGTTGTTAAAGTCGGCGACAAAGTCCATCAGCAGCTCAACGACGCTGGCCGCCACCTCGGAGAACTTGATGGCGCACTGGTGGATGGAGTGGATCAGGAGCTGGCGGTATTCCGTGTTCTTCTCATACTCCTGGTCGACCGTCTTGGACAGCTCCTTCTTCAGCAACAAGACAACTTCCTCGACGTTCTTGCTCGACACCATGTCGAGAACCAGGTTGAGCGCTTTCCTCCTGACGTCGATATCGGGGCTGGACAGCACACGCAGAATTTCCATGACCGAGTCGTCGAGAACGCCGGGGCTCTTCCTGCGCAGCTGATCGACGCGATCGAGAACGATGAGCTTCACATTGTTGTCGGCCTCCTTGATGCTGAGCTCGATGAACTTGGCGGCGGCGGCCTTGACGGCGACAGGGTTGTTCGTGAGGGCGGTCAGGGACGAGGCGGCCTCGTACACGACAGTAGACGTGTTGGCCTCGAGCAGGTCAAAGATGAGACGCAGATACCGCGGCTTGTTCTGGGAGTTCTGCACAGCATCCTTGCGGATGAACTCGAGCTCCACCAGCTGAAGGAGCTCCTCTGCGTTCGGGATGCCGTCAAAGACCTGGCTGAGGTAAACGAGAGCCCTCTCGTGGTCGATAGAGGACAGTGCGGCAAACGCATTCCTCTTGCATGTGGGGTCGGTCTCGGCCTCGAGGAAGGTGCTGATGAGTTCGGGCGCGTCAGGGATGAGCGAAGGAGAGTGCTGGAAGATGGAGGCAACGGCAAAGACGGCATTCTTGCGAACGTAGGCGTGGCGGTGCTCAAGACATTGCCTTGCGGAGGACAGGAGGGGCTCGATGAGCTCGGGCTCGCGGAGCTTGCAGAGGAAGCGCAGGGTGTTGCCGCGAATGTATTCGTTGGGATGTTGAAGATCGTTCCTGATGCCGTTGCTGCAGCCCACCATGGTCAGTAGAGTTTCGCTTTGAGGAAATACATCGGCAGACGCACCAGACCAGGATCATCTCCTGCTTGAGCTTGCCAGTGGAGTCAAGCTTGGGGCAGATCTCGTAGTAAAAGTAGAGCATCTTCTTCAGGGCCTTGTGCTTCGAGGGCATGACGAATCGGATAATGTGCATCAGGAGCTGGGGCATCGAGTCGCCGTTGAGCATAATGGTGAGGATGCGCTTCATCGTCTCGACCTTGCTTTCGTCGGTCCCCTTTTCCAGCTGCGTCTTGAGATCGGCCAGGGTCGGCACGTCGGCCGTGTTGTCCTGGTGGACCAAGCTGTAGGCATGATCGAGAAATGAAGCCATGATGTGCGGTGGGTTGCGGGCAGATGCCGGCGCGCAGTGGGTGGCGGGGAGAGGAGGGGGTTGTGTGTTTCTTCGGTGGACGTGTTCAAAGGGGGAGGTTCAGGCGATACCTGGTCCAAGTGGGATGCGGCCAGCTGGGCGGTGGGGAGCCGGGGGGGTGGTGTGTCCAATGCAGTTCGAAATTGTTAGGGGAGCTTTCCGCCGGCCGAGCTCTGATGGCTGTGGGCTTTGAATATGACCATCCGTCGCGAATGCGCACTTCCAAGAAGCTCCCTTTGGAGACTGATATTGATAGAGGCGGGTTTGGAGCGAATGCGACTTTCACCAGTTGGGCTGTCGGAGCTTCGTGGACATCTGGCCTACCTCCTGGCCTCGCCGAACACCTGTCACTAAGCGAATTGAATGCACGTGATCTGCCTTCTGTAAAGTCGAGCCACCCACCCCTGGATTCGGAGCGGATTAAAGGGCGTGCCTGGTGCGCGTCCATGGTGGGGTCCTGTTGGCCCCGCCACACCACAGCAACCCACTCTCCAGTTGTGCTGGGTCAAGGCGAGCCTTGTTCACTCGAGCTCCCCCACGCCAGCCTTGCAGATTCCACCCTCGACGACCGACAAACAAGGCCATTGCCGAGCGACACAATGGCGGACACGAGCGATACCTTTTACATGAGATACTAGTACGACAGTCTCCGGAGTCTGATGGCTGTCAAACTAACAATGCATAGCTCCGGCCACTCTGGACGCTTTGGCCATGAGTTTCTCGGTTCGCCCACGTCGATGCTTTTTGGCAGTAGACAAAGCTGACCCGGTGCACCCGCAGAGTTCGACTTTCGCGTAGTTGGCGACGGCCGCAGTGCGATCGCGCGGTACGCCAACAACTCGAACTACCGAAACGACAGCTTGATCCGCAAAGAGAGTACGACAACAACTTCTACGAAACCTAGGCAGGGAGACTGATGTATGGTGTACAGTGTGTGTCAGCTCGCTGGTTATTGAAGAGATCCGGCGCATCATCAAGTCGAGCGAGATCATGAAGTATGTTGCGATGGACTCAGGAGATAAAACGAATCGGTCAAAGCGAGCTATGGCTGACCCCCCCACAGGGAAGACGACTCGAAGTGGCCGCAGAAGAACAAGGACGGGCGCCAGGAGCTCGAGATTCGTCTCGGCAACGATCACATTTCCTTCGAGGTATGGCCCGTTGGTTCGAATGCGACTGGCGACTGGACTGACAGGCTTGTACAGACGGCCAAGATTGGCTCCCTCGTGGACGTGACCGAGTCAGCGGACCCGGAAGGCCTGCGTGTCTTCTACTATCTGGTGCAGGACCTGAAGGCGTTGGTATTCAGCCTAATCGCCCTTCACTTCAAGATCAAGCCGATCTAGACGGGGTGCAGTGTGACGGACAAAAGAACGGCGACGCGGAAACAAAAATGATACCCCAGACGAAGAGCTGGATCCGAGTATTAGGCATCAGGAGCAGTGAGCGGTGAGCAGCCGACCTGCAGGCACTCCAAAGACACCTCTGACGAGATATCTTGCGTGGCTCTCTATCAAGACAGGGGGAGACGCAGTATGAATGAACGAAACTTTTACATTCGATGGAGGCACGGGAGCTACAGCACAGTTGATGTTGATGATCGCGATGCCAAGAGGTGAGAGCAGTGCATGCGTGCGTCATGGCGGACAAAACCTTGGTAGGGCCCTGTTGTGGCAGTGGCTTGATGTTTGCGTTGCTGTGAAACTCTTGTCATGGCTAGAAACGGCAGGCCTCGTGGTTCCTGGGCGCTGTGGCTCTCCTTCCCCAGTGCGCCGTTGTCACACGGGGGCAGGCGTCATATGTTGTGAGACCTCGCCACGACCAAAGCCCACTAGACGGGTGTTTTTGCACCTGAGCATCTTTAGTCGCATTTCCTGAAGCTTTTTTTTATCGTCATGTCCCGTCAAGACGCGGTCCCACATGCTGCACGCAAGCCAGTCCACCTTGAACGACACCCCGGGATTGCCATGGAAAGAAGCACAGCAGCCCAGGACCCTGCGCCCAACCCGGCCGCCCGCCGGCAAAGCGACAAAGTGAGGTAAGGTGTGGTGGGTAGTGGGCCGCCGGGCCAGAACACGCAGAATGGCGACGTGGGGGTCCAATCAGCTTCAGCTTCTCAGGGAGTTTCTCCAAGCCTTAGCCCAACCAGACCAGAAGGCCGCCCCCCGTAGTGCCCCGTAGGGGGCGTCATCGGCTTGTCGCCGCCAGTTCAAGCACGTTACCGACCAGGGAAAGCGAGGCACTCACTCCCTCCCCCAGGCTGTCCCATCCAGCGTGCCCATGTCCAACTGAGCCCGTTCCAATTCGATCGCACCCCATCTGCTGGGCTGAACCCAACTCTGTTCTGTCTTACCCTGCATCTGTCCTACCTTGCACTCAGATCGCGTTGCGACTCGCCCAATTTACATTACCCGTGTCTTGCCGAATTCACCTCGCAGAGGGCAGCATAGACAGACACTTCCAGACGGGTCATCTCGACGTCTGGTCTCTCTTCCTTCAGCTCTCGCCAGGCCATCGATCGACTGCACGACCCTTGGCCAGATCTTCCTCCATGTCGCCCTCCACCACCTGAACGGTCCATCCTGCTCCAACTGCGCAGCCAATGCAGTTGCGTATCCCCGACCGCCACATCTTGCTTGGCAAGCTGTGATCCTCTCTCTCACTCTCTCGGCCATACTGTAAGAGACTGGACAACCACCCATACGAACGACGACTCTCCATTCTGTATATCGACATTGAGTCACTCTGCGATTTTTGAGTCTTGAACCAAACACACATATACGAGTCCTGCCGATTTATCCCTCGACGACTTGCGCCAACAACACTCGCGAAACCACATCCTTCACCGCAACCACAGCGATCCGTTTCGCCGAGGATCGCATCTCCAACACACAACCTCCCTACCATGCCTACTCCCTCTCCAAACCCTCCACCTGGCCCTCACTCGCCGCGTTCGTACCACACCTGCCCAGAGGACACAGGCACGCGATCATCGTCACGCAGTTCGCAAATACCAGTCGAAACCGGCGAAGGAAGCCTGCACGCCGCAGGCGGGGGCTCTGAGGAAACCCCTGTCGTCCCTGTCGTTGAGGTCTCCTCGCAGACGAGCCACATTACGGAGAGCATGATTGAAGACGAACCCACATCGGCGATATCCTCGAGGGCAACCACCATGTCGCCAGCACCCGAGTCGACAGTCACATCTCGGACGACACCAGGCCCAGGGATCGACTTTGATGTCTTCAAGCAGATGGAGGTTGACGAAGACGAACACCAGACGACCGTGGAGGGGCTGCGTCTACACGATGGAGAAAGCGGTGCCAGCGGGACGGGACGATCATCCCACCCTGCGTCCCATGTACAAGACGCGGGCCCTGGCAAGGGAAGCGATGTCGTGCACGTGATGATGGGTGATGAGGAGGAGTTAATGGCGCCCTCCATGGGATCAGATTACCCCAGCTTGAGGGTTCGTGGTATTCTTCTTGACGCACGGCTTACAGCTGACTGACGATGTAGACAATCCCCACCTCCCCATCGTCCTTTTTGCGACCGGGAAGCAAATTCCACGGCACGCAACAGTCGGAGAGACAAGTCTACGATGTGCAGGTGGAAATCAAGCACGTCGACCTGAAGGAGTCTTTTCTCTGTGGCTATCTCCGGATCCAAGGTCAGCGCGTCTGTCGAGTCCGAGTTGATCACTACTGACGCAAGAACCACAGGCCTCACTGAAGACCATCCGACTCTGACGACATATTTTGAAGGCGAGATCATCGGCACCAAATACAATTTCTTCACAAACCACGATACCTGGGGTGCCACCAACAAAATCGACCTCAACCACTGGGGCAAGTTTGCGGCGTTCCGACCCTTTCAGAAACAGGCACGAAAAGGACCGGTAAGCGTCCGTGATGTGGCGCAGTGTGAGAACATTTTTATGCGGTGGAAAGAACATTTCCTGGTCCCCGATCACCGAGTGCGCACCATCAGTGGCGCCAGCTTTGAGGGCTTCTACTACATCTGCTTCAACCAGGTCAAGGGTGAAGTGAGCGGGATATACTTTCACTCGAAGAGCGAGAAGTAAGCATCGCAGCGCTGCGTGACGAAAAAATGCTGACAGAAATCCCAGGTTCCAGCAGCTAGAGCTCAAGCATGTCGAAGACAAGGGATGCTTCGGCGCGATGGAGTTCAGGTAGCGGCGGGGCGCACCGGTCTTAATCAAGGGCACGGTAGCTTCGGGGCAGACGGCAGATGAGCATGATTTGGATGATATCAGCGGAAACGGAACGAGACGATGATGAGCCGGTCCATTTCGAGGCTGCGGCCATACGACGGGGTATAGTTGCTGTATATCTTTTTTCTTCATGCCTCTTCCTTTTTGAACCCTTTGAAGTACCTCTCTCGGAACGGGTTCAGTTCATCTGCCGTCACGCCCTCATGTTTCGCACGTTTGTGCAATGCCAGCTTTTCCTGGTCGACCTGGCTGTCCGGCATGCGCCGATATGTGATGAGGCGTCGAGACCCTGCTGGTGTCAGTAAGCGGGACTAAACAGGGGTGGAGATAGAGTCACCGAACATACATCGGTTGAACGGCTGGACGCAGACAGACACAATCTCGAGACATGGGTGCGTCGGTACGCTGAGCTCCTGGTCCTCGTCGTTGGCCGTGGGCATCCAGAACGACAGGCGGCCCTCGTCCACGAGCATTTGGGTGGCAAACTCGAGAATGTCGTCCAACATGGCTAGAAAGCTGTACGGCTTTTTCGGCGCAATGTAGCTGGGTGAGCTTGTGACGATCAGCAAACGATTACACAAAAGAAATCGCCACAGAGAAAAAAAAGGGGGGGGCCAACTCACTTCCAGTACTTTTCACCCGCAACAATGACGTTCGGCGTCTTCTCCGGGTCCCGACACCCAAGTACCTTGAGACCCTCCCGCACGCCATAGGGCGGGTCGCACACGATGCCGTCCATCCACCGCCGCCTGACGAGCGGCGTATTCGTCAGGTCTGCCGTGAAGAACTCGCCGACAAGCTTGTCGAGCCCGTACTGCGCAAAATTGCCCTTGAGGCTCTTCTGCCCGCCCTGGCCCCTGAAACTCCGTCCGTCAATGTCGCTGCCGAAGGCGAGCGCGCCAAAGTGGGCCGCCGCGACGGGGAAGCTCCCCGTGCCGACAAAGGGGTCGTAGAAGATCTTGCCAGGGGCGGCGAGCGCCATGTTGGCCGTCACGAGGGCGAGCTCCGAGTCCATGGACGTCGTGCTGATGTAGCCGCGCTTCTTGAGGTCGTAGGTGCGGCACAGCTCGCGTGAGCCGCCGCCGAGCCAGCGGCCGAGGAAGAGACGCCGTGGGTTCGGCTCCGGGCGGACGCCGGCGGGACGAAACGGCCAATCCTCGAAAATGGTGAACGTCTCGTCCGGGTCGCGCATGTCGATGCGGCCCTGAAAGGCGAGGTAGGAGAATGAGTTGATGAGCTGGACGCGCTCGTCCATCGTGCGCGTGTGCTGGAAGGCGTCGATGATGAACTTGAAGGAGCAGGTTGCGTAGGAGGACCAGAGGGGTTCGGTACGGGCGCGCACGTCGGCGTGGATGTCCTCGTAGAGGCCCGACGGGGCATAGCCCCAGAGCTCGTGGATGGACTGTATGAGGATGGCGCGGCGGATGAGGGCGCGGGCTGCGTCTGCCGAGGGGACATTGATGATGCAAAAGGGGTGCTGGTGTTAGTCAGTATACACTGTTTCTTCGAGATATGTGTAGGCTAGCAGAGGGGGGGGAATCGGGCGCACATCATCGGAGTATTCCAGAATTTTGAGATCGATGCCTTCGACAACAGCCAGAGCCTTGAGCTCGGCCAGCCGGAACGACTCGTGGAACTGGCTGAAGCGTACAAGATAATCCATTTTGAGAGCAAGGTGAGGGGTCTGTTGAGAATTCAGTGAATATTTCGCAGCTATGCGCCCGTCCAAAATCAGCGATCGTCCACGCGTGGTCTCGACCCGAAGGTTTCGTAAACAGCTCTCGCGAGCCTCGACTACTCAATGATGTGCAGTTTCTGGTGGATTTACTTGAAAGTGAAGAAAAGACTAGATCTTGAGTGAGTTCGTGAGCAGACCATGACCCTTCTGCTGATTCAGTTCTGTGGCAGACATTTGCGCGACCAATCAGCGGGGTAAAATCTTCACTGTGGAACCTCCCCTCTACCGCACTGGTCGTCTAACTCAACCACCACCGTGGACCACCCAGACATTCAGAGAAAGACGGTCACTGGCCGCGTTGCAAAAATGCTGTCCTTTGCAGAGCCGAGTCTCTACCAGTCGCCGCGATGTTCCGTCACGTACGGCACAATGGCCCATGTTGAGCCTAAGCAGCTGCCGACGAAGGGGAAGCCATGGAACTCCATCATGGCCCAGGGCTTCAATCACCAGGTGGGTGTCCACCCATCATGATTTGGACAAAGTCTGACCCGTCAAGGTCGATCTTGTTGTGCCAGAGGCGTGCTACGAGCTTGTCAAACGAAAGTTGGTCGAGCAACGCGATGCCCCCGTCTACCAACGCGTCACCATGACTCTTGGGCAGATCCTCGATGGCGCCTTCTTTCTCGAATACATGAAGAAGGGTAACTATGGGTTAGGAAGTCGAAACATGTCACAGGCTTACCAGAAACAGGAAATGTTCTCATGCTGTCCGAGGGACGGACCACGGACGACAACATGTTTTCATTGCGTGAAGGTAAGTGACTACATGCCCTGATCTACTCCAAGCTAACCGTGCAGGCCTCCTCACCATGTATATGGACAAGGAAACCTACGAACGAGCTGGCCTCGTAGGGAAGCCGTACGGCGTTAAGGGCAAGAGGGGCTTGAAACCGAGATGGAGTAAGTCACCGGCGCCAGAGTTCTATGTTCCGATATATTGACAAAAAGTCAGTTGTGAGCTACCAATTACGCGATGAGTCGATGTTTCACGGCAAGAAAGGGTTCGATCGCTTGCTATATGCCTGCAGAAATGTTTTGAAGCAGCCAGTAACCTGGCTATTTGCCAACCTTGGCTCCAGTGCGTCTCGTCCAAAGACTGAACGTCAGCCGCTAATGTTCCGTAGCACCCTCGCCCGACCCCATGGAGCAGCTCGCGCCGATCAAATTCACCTCTCGTCCGGGCCTCGTGAATGGCGCTGACGTTGTAGCGCCGGCACTGAACGTTCCTTCTGAGGTTCTTGCCCAAGGTGATCGGCCTGGTCTCGAAGAGTTTGCCAGCGAGACGTACGAGTGGCTTTCACTGGTGCGCCTCGAGAGCCCTCGTGTTGCTGTAGGCGACGACATCAACTCGTACCTGTCGCGATACCAGGTCCCCAACGATTCGGAAACGGCGTCGAGAGCCAGAGTCTGCAAGATTACCTGGAAGGGTCTCCTGACAGCCGACTGGGTGCGTCAGCTCCTCATTGACGTTCTCGCTACGGTGCCCTCGCGGGCTTGGATCTCCTTCAGCGCCACGTCCTTTTCCAAGGGCATCGTCAATGAGAGCGCCGAAATCTCCTTTCTTCGACCACCCGATGCCGCGGGACACTATCTCATGTGGGAGATCCAAGGTCAAGAGGCTTGAGAGCACTAATCCTGTCGTTGGCGAACGCTCCTCTCATCGGCGAGGCCCTCGCCGAGCACCGCTTCCTCCACCAGTCGCCTCAGCTCTGCCTGGCCCTCTGGCGTGTGGAAATCCTCTCGTCCCGCGAGCTCCTCGATGCGGCGCTTGAACTCGGGATCCACCTCTTCTGGCACGTCTGCAGTCTGATCCATGCTGCCCACAGACACGGCGAGTCCCTCTGGTACAGGGGGCATCTCTGCCGTTTCGCTCGAGCCGTTCGTCGCAGCCGCCGCCGAAGATGATGCCGGCCTTTCCGTCTCTGCTCCAGCGAGGTACTCTGCCACTTCAGGATAGTCGGCCTCGGCCTCAATCTTTTCTCTCGGTGTCACGCCATCGTCGCCTCGAATGTGAATATCGGCGCCAAGCTCCTCGACAAGACACTTGGCAGCATCGACCGTCTCGACGACGAACAACGCAGTCTCGCCGTCCTCGTCTTTCAGGTTGACGTCCACATTGAACTCCTGGATGAGGGTACGCAGTAGGTCGAGGTGGTTGTAGCTTGCCGCGGCGTGGACGAGGGAGTAACCGTGCTCGTCTTGGCCTGAAGCAAGACTGGGGTTTTCGCGGAGGAGAGGTAGCAGCGCCGGGCTGTTGTCGGCAGCGAGCAGGTAGGGGTTCTGCGTCATGTCGGGCTTGTAGTCTAACGTCTTCGAAATTGAGAATATTTGGCCTCAATTGATGCGTTGGAAAAGTCGTGAAATGATAGGCTCTTTAGTATCAATCGTGGCGCTCTCTCCGAGCTGATGACCTTTCCGACGGCCTTGCCTTGGAGGGGAATTTTTCTGCCATGGAGGGGTCCTCAAGCTCGGTGTGACGCATATCCCCGCAAAACACCTTGACACCACCCTCACCGCCTGCCGCATGCGCTGTTCAGCAGCGGGCTGAGGTCTGTGCTCGTAGGCCTCAACCCCTGGAAATACAGGGCAGGAGACACCAACGGGACTGAGGCCGTATCCCCAAGGCTCCCAAGGCAACCAACAGTCTCAGGACGTGGTTTCCGGCGTGACTGTTTTGCTGGGCAAGAACATCACCCTCCAAGAGTAAGGATAATCTCATCGAAAAACTCCGAAACGGTTCATCCCAGGATCGTCTTGCAAGGCCTCAGCATTCGACGACCGTGACTCATTCTCCGCTGTACCTTCTCTTCTTGAACCCCTCATCAGGTATATGAGAACCGTCCTGCACATTCGGCCCGTTTGTCTGGATGAATAGAACAGCCAAGCTACTATTTCAACAATTGACGAGAATCACACTCGGCACGACACTTTCACCCCGTCGCAGGAGACTGTTCATATCGCCTCGGAGAATTTCAATACACATCACAGCCATGGCGACCACCGGCGGAGCCCAGAGCGCTCCCACCAGGGCGCCTTATATCCCCCAGGACGTGCAGTCTGTCGCGCACATGCTCAATGGCCTCGACGAGGCACGAAAGAACAAGAGGAAGGGCCAGGCCATGTGCAAGCGGTCCACCTTTGCAGTCAAGGGGTCGTCCATCACCGTCGACTCGTGGAAGATGCAGGAGCAGGATTACAAGAAGCGAGATCTCCCCACATATGCC